CCGGCGGCCAGTCTACGGTCTCCGCCAGGCGCCCCGTGAGTGGCACGACACACTAAAGACTACGCTAGCGGCTCTTGGGTTTGCTCCTTCTACTGCCGACCCATCGCTGTTTCTACGCACCGACACCTCTTTGCCGCCGTTCTACATCCTCGTGTACGTCGACGACTTGGTCTTTGCCACTGCTGACACTGCTGGACTCGCCCACGTGAAGTCCGAGCTACAGAAGAGACACACATGCACAGACCTGGGTGAACTGCGCAGCTACCTTGGCTTGTAGATCACCCGGGACAGAGCACAGCGCACCATTACCCTGACTCAGTCAGACATAGTGCAGGAGGTCCTTCAGCGCTTCGACTTCACGTATTCCTCGCCTCACGCCACTCCTCTGTCTACTCGCCACTCGCTCTCAGCTCTGCCTTCGGATGAGTTCGTAGAGCCGAGTGGCCCGTACCCAGAGCTTGTTGGCTTCCTCATGTACCTGATGACCTGCACTCGACCTGACCTTGCATACCCTCTTAGCATCTTGGCACGCTATGTTGCTCCTGGGAGACACCGACCAGAGCACATGGCTGCAGCGAAGAGGGTGTTGCGCTACTTGTGCAGTACGTCGGGCATGGGGCTAGTGCTTGGAGGGCGGCGTTCAGTGGTCCTCACAGGTCACGCAGATGCTTCTTGGGCTGACGACCAGGCTACGCAGCGGTCGTCACAGGGTTACACTTTCAGCCTTGGTTCCGACTCTGTTTCGTGGCGGTCTACCCGCTCGTCTTCTGTTATTGGCTCCAGCTGTGAGGCTGAGATCTATGCGGGGGCCATGGCTGTAAAGGAGCTACGCTGGCTCACCTACCTGCTGAGTGACCTAGGAGAGCCGCCTCGTTCTCCTCCAGTTTTGTACGTAGACAACAAGGCCATGCTGGCCTTGTGTCGGGAGCACAGAGTGGAGCACAGAACGAAGCACATTGCTCTTCGCTACTTCCTTGCTCGTGAGCTGCAGCAGCGTGGTCAGCTGCGCCTTGCTTACGTGGCCTCTGAGGCCAACACTGCTGATATCTTTACCAAGGCACTTCCGCCTTGTGATCATCAGCGCTGCTGTACGATGCTAGGTCTTGTGCCTACTTGGCCTCACTTACTCACTTCTTGACCTTGCTTGTACTGTGATCTTTCTATACCTGCACTTGCTTGTTTACCCTTATATATGATCTTGCATGTGAACTCGCCTTGTGGCCTTGAACTTGTGCTCGGAATGTGTTGTGACGTTGTGATCCACCCTGAGCTTGCTTTGCTTTGCTTGACTAGTCTTGTGACCTCTTGTTCTCTCCACTTTGCCTATGGGGGTGTGTCAAACTCATATGCTATAGTCTGTGTAGGCTGTAGTGGGGTAGACAATATGGGGTACAACACTTTTAGGTTTTCCTACTTGTACCCACCTGTTCGCCAGTGCATTCACTCCTCGTTCTTTCACACTGGAGCCGGTGGTGCTGTAGGCGCTAGAGCTGGAGACCCTGGAGCTCGAGGCGCTGGAGCTGGAGGTACCGGAGGTACAGGAGCTGCTGGTCCTAGTGGTGCCGGAGATCCTACGGGTGTCCCGTCCCGACGAGAGCCTCTTTCTCCACCGCAGCTGCGCAAGTGGTTGGCTCGGCGCTGGAGCAGTCGAAGTGGCGCTGCTGGAGCCGAGGGGCCTGCCGCTAGAGGCCCTGGCGCTGGAGGCACTGGAGCTGCTGGTCCTGGAGGTACTGGAGGTGCTGGAGCCGCTGGACCAGGAGGTGCTCGTACTGGAGGTACTGAAGCTGCTGGAGCTGGTGGTGTTGCTGCTGCTGCTGGAGGTGCTGGAGCTGCAGGTCCCAGAGGTGCTCATACTGGAGGTATTGGAGCTGCTAGAGCTGGTGGTGCTACTCCGACTGGAGGTTCTGGAGGTGTTGGAGCTGCTGGTCCTGGAGGCGCTCATGCCGGAGGTACTGGAGCTGCCGGAGCTGGTGGTGCACCTGCTGCTGGAGGTACTAGAGGTGTTGGCGGTACAGGAGTTGCTGGACGTGCTGGAGCTGCTGGAGCTGGTGGTGCTGCAGGCGCTGGAGCTAGAGACCCTGCAGCTGGAGGTGCTGGCGCTAGGGGTGTTGGAGCTGTCGGTACTGGTGCTGGAGGCACTGTGCAGCACCGTTTTTCGTTCCGCCGTCACCATCGTCTCTACCCGCCACTTGGCTCGGCACTTCGCCAGGTCCTTAGTCTCCCGTCTTCTACTGGCCTTACCCCTCCCTTCCTGTGTCCACCGCCTAACCTGTTACAGCCACAGCTACAGCCAGACTCCCCACTGCCTGCTCCTTCTCCTTACACTAAGAAGTTAGACTCTCTTACAGAGCGTCGTGAGCCTGCGTCTAGCCCTGCCTTGCCTGTTCGCGCTGGTCGCACTGGTAGTCGTGTTCCGCGTCCGCGTCCTCCTCCTGTCCCTGGCACACACCATATGGCACTTCGTCCTTCCTCTGTTCCACCGCGTATCCCTCTGTCGTCTCCTCCTGCGTCCTCTCTTGCTGACGGACCGGACCCTAAGTCTGCCCTCCTTCGTGCTGCTAGTCCTACTATCACGCGTGTTCTGGCCATTGTTGTCACTGACCCTTTGTTTGAGTCCACTGCTGCGTCTGCCCTAGTTGCTGAGCTTGTTGACTTTGCTGCTGCCTGTCGTCTCGACTACGCCGCTAGTCTTGTTGCTGAGTCTGAGTCTATCTGTCCTCTGTCCGTCGGGGGTGAGTGTGCTCTTGGCACGGACGTCCTTGAGGATAGGCAGGAGGACTTTGAGTGTTTTGCACCTGCTGTACCTCATCTCGTGCCCATGCTGATTCCACCTGAGGGAGACCCGGATGCACCAAATATCCCGACCCCGTGCTCTTACGCTGAGGTGATTACGGGTTCCTATTCCTCTAAGTGGCAGACAGCCATGGACACAGAGATGGCATCCTGGAAGTCCACAGACACTTACGTCGACGCAGTTCTCCCTCCTGGGGCGAATATAGTCGATGGCATGTGGATTTTCAGGGTGAAGCGGCCGCCGGGTTCTCCGCTTGCCTTCAAGGCTTGTTATGTTGCACGAGGCTTCAGTCAGCGACAGGGAGTTGACTTCTTCCAGACCTTCTCCCCTACCCCGAAGATGATTGTGTTACGACATGAAACTCAATGAATTGATAGAAAATGTGAAGTAGAACCCTAGATATAGCAAACCCTAATCATGCAAAGAAGTAGAAATGTAACACCTAGACTAACCTAAATAACACATAAAATATATGTTGACACACCCCCATAGTCTAGGTGACGGTAATCCTGGGGAAAAACATCACATATCGCAGGGCGGGACTCAAGGACACACACAGTCTGAGAGCAAGCAAGAGTCACATGACCAGTCAGCAAGGACAAGCAAGGGTCACAAGACCAGTCCACAAGAAGAAGACAAATCTCAGAGTGGAGCTCAAACTCACCACACACTCCAAGAGCAAGCAAAAAGGGCCACAAGGCCAGTTGACATGCATATATATAGCAAATATAATGAGATGCAAGAGTACAAAACAAGAAGGACAAAGCATCTCTACGTAAGCAAGTGAGGACGAGCTGGCACAAGGCAAAGCTGGGTGCAGAAACGCTGGTGTTCACAAGGCGGCAACGCCTTGGTGAAGATATCTGCCGTATTGGCCTCAGAGACCACACGTCGTACGAGTGCCTGGCCACGCTGCTGCAACTCACACAGAAGGAAGTTACGAAGTTGGATGTGCTTCGCCTTCCCAACCAGTCGGGGCTCCTCACACAGCAGGACAGCAGACCTGTTGTCAGCGAACAAGACTGGGGGAGAGCGAGGCCGCTCACCAAGGTCGGTGAGAAGAAAAGACAGCCAGCGAAGCTCCTGAGCAGCCATGGCCGGAGCGTACACCTCTGCCTCACAGCTGGAACCGGCGACGGACGATGCCTGAGTCGACCGCCACGAAACAGCACCTGCCCCGAGGCTAAAGGATTACCCCTGTGTAGACCGACGCGTCTCTGCGTCGTCGGCCCACGACGAGTCCGAGTAACTTGTGAGTGTAACTGGCTGCTTCCCTCCAAGGACAAGTCCCATGCCTGATGTACTTGCCATATACTTCGCCACCCTCTTAGCCGCGTACCAGTGGGACGGTCGGTGTCTCCCAGGCGCAACAAAGCGCGCAAGGACGCTAAAAGGGTAAGCTAGGTCTGGGCGAGTGCAGGTCATCAGGTACATGAGACAACCCACCAGCTCAGGATATGGACCGCTGGACTCAAATGGCTCGTCCAAAGGTGGAGCCGTGAGCCCATGATCCACTCCAAGAGGGTTGAGCTGTACCTTGGAGAATGGGAAGCGGGACCACTTGAGGATCTGCTCGACCATATGCGACTGCGTCAGCGTAATGGTGCAAGCTGCCCTGTCCCTGGTGATCTACAGGCCAAGGTAGTGCTACAGCTCACCAAGGTCTGTGCAAGTGTGTCTCCTGTGCAGTTCCTCCTTCACGGAGGCCAGCGCGCGTCGGTCGGGAGTGGCGAACGCCAGGTCGTTGACATAGACCAAGACAAAGAACGGGGTCGAGCCACGGCGAACGAATAGTGACGGGTCAGCAGACGATGGAAAGAAGTCAAGCGCAGCAAGGGTCGAGCGAAGTGTGTCGTGCCACTCATGTGGAGCCTGACGCAGGCCGTAGACTGGTCGGCGCAGCTGCCACTGGGTCCCACGTGGGAAAGAGCCAGTGAAGCCAGGCGGGCGACACAGCCAGATCTGCTCGTGCAGGCTCCTCTGAAGGAACGTGGTGGAAAAGTCCAAGGAGTGCAACTCGTAGTCGCGCTGTACTGCAATATGCAGCAACACCCGAAGAGTACTTATCTTTAGGGTGGGAGCGAAGGTCTGGAAGAAGTCCACTCCCTCTCGCTAACTGAAGCCTCTCGCCACATAGCGCGCCTTGAACACGGGTGGTGATCCAGGCGGCCGCTTCACCTTGTAGAGCCATCGGCCACTGACGACGTTAGTCTAGAGCAAAGATATCAACATCTCGCTTAGGCAAGTCTGCCCAGCGGGGGAGCTCAGGTGCATCAGGAAACTGTGTGCGCCAGGCATCATCAAGACGGGAGAAGCAGCGGTAGTCGGAGTGGAACTTCCCGCATGGCTGTCCAGTGCGGGGACCGGTGCGAATGACATACGGGCAGCAAACAGTTGCCTTTGACGCCCCACGCTGAGCATACCACTCATGAAGCTGCTGGGGTGTAAGGGTCTCGCGCGGACGCTGCTGCTGCTACTGCCTCTTACCACCTCCAGAGCCTCCCCTCTGAAAGGCTCCACCCCGACCGCCACCAGTGCCGCCGCCACCGCTCCCACTGCCGCCACAACCGCCGCTGCCGCCTCCACCACCACCACTCCCACGGCCGCCGCCTCCGCCGCCTCCACTCCCACTGCTACCGCTACCGCCGCCACCGACGCCTCCACTCCCGCCACTACTCCCACCGCCACCTCCGCCACCTCCACCACCCCCGTCGCCTCCACCACCGCCCCCCCCTCCACCACCTCTACCACTCCTGCCGCCCCTACCCTTGCCGCTGCGGCGCTTCCCACTAGGAGCAGAAGCAGCGCCGACCTCCTCAGCACCAAGGAAGTCAACAACTGCAGCAGAAGCATTGGAGGGGGCAAGGGGAGAGGAGTAACACCCCTCAAAGAGGGGAGTGCGAGGAGTGCCACGAGCAGCACCTACAGCAACAATGCTCTTCTCTGCTGCAAGGAGGTGCTACTCGAAGTCGTCAACAGTGAGGGCGGTAGGGTCGAGCGCTAGAAAGTGGTCCCTGATTGTACGAAGGGAGTCAGGGAGGCGGGTGACTAGGAAGTAGAGCGTGATGTACATTGAGGGTGGGTTCGCGGCTAAGAAATCGGCTGAGAGAGCGGCACGGTAGCGAACGTCACTAGCGCGAAGGTGGGAGATGAGGTCCTCAACTGTGGCAAAGGAGGACAGCTCGGGGAACAGGTAGGGCAGGAAAAGGCGGCTGAGAGCAGCAGTGGCAGGGGAAGAGTAACGAGCGACTACAGCGGTGTACAGATCCTTAGCGGTCTTGTGCTGGCCGAAGTGAGCACGTTCTGCTAATGGCAGATAATTGCGAATAGTTAGGCGAGCAGCTGCGTCACGGGTCTGCCAGTGTGAACGAGAGAGGCTGTCAGCTGTGTCGGGAGGAGCAACTGAGGAGCCAGACGCATGGTCAAACAAAGAAACTCCGTCTTTAGCATCGGTCATGAGGAACAGCTGCAGGTCATCTAGCCACGTGGCGAACTCTATCGGGCGGCCGTCAAGGTCGAAGGTAAGGACATTGAGCGTAGCTATGGCTGCAGCGAGTGCACGGACAGCAGAGACGGCGCGCGCGCAGCAGAGGCAGCGCGCAGGCAGTAGAGGCGGCGAACTGGCAGGCAGAGGCGGCACGTGGGCGGCAATGGCAGGGCGCGGGCCGCAAGGGCTGCAAACTAGCGGCGCGCGGGCAGGAGCAGCAGGGCAGCAGAGCAGCAAGGCAGTAGCAGTAGCTTAGCAGCAAGAGCAGTGCACCAACAGTAGTTCAGTAACAGTAGTGTAGCAACAGCAGTGTAGTAACAGCAGTGCAGTAAAAGCAGTGCAGTGACAGTAGCACAGGCGGCAGTAGGGGCAGTGCAGGTGCGCGCGCGGCAGAGCAGGTGCGCGCGGGCCTGGCGCGGGCTGTACGGGCTGCACGCGGACCTGGCGCGGGCTGTACATGCCGCACGTGGGCCTGGTGTGGGCTGCACAAGCTGCATGCGGGCCTAGCACGGGCTGTGCGGGCCGCGAGCGGGCCTTGCGCGGGTCGTACGGGGTGCGCGCGAGCCTGGCACGGGCTGCACAGGCTGCGCACGGGCCGCGCGCGGGCTGTAGGGGCGACGCGCGGGTGGCGCGCGGGCTGCACTTGTGGAAAATAGAACGAGAATGAATGAACTATGAGTGAAGTGAGTACAAATAGCAAAACCCTAATTGGGTTGTACCCCCTATGGGATACCCCACTGTAGCCTACACAACAGCATAAGCTACATATATGTTCTGACACACCCCCATAGGCAAAGTGGGGGAGAAGAAGGGGTCACAAGACCAGTCAAGCAAAGCAAAGCAAAGCTCAGGGTGGATCACAAAGTCACCACACAGTCCGAGCACAAGAGCAAGGCCACAAGGCCAGTTCACATGCAGGAGTACACACATATGTATATAAAGCTAGACAAGCAAGAGCAGGTATATATATGTCACAGTACAAGTAAAGTCAAGAGGAGAGCAAGTGAGGCAAGACAGGCACAAGACCCAGCTGGGTGCAGAAGCGCTGATGGTCACAAGGCGCGAGTGCCTTGGTGAACACATCAGCAGTGTTGGCCTCAGAGGCCACGTACGCAAGCCGCAACTGTCCACGCTGCTGTAGCTCACGAGCAAGGAAGTAGCGAAGAGCAATGTGCTTCGTTCTGTGCTCCAGACGCTGCTCTCGACACAAGGCCAGCATGGCCTTGTTGTCTACGTACAGCACTGGAGGAGAACGAGGCGGCTCTCCAAGGTCGGTCAGCAGGTAGGTGAGCCAGCGAAGCTCCTGTGCAGCCATGGCCCCTGCGTAGATCTCAGCCTCACAACTCGAGCTGAGAACCGAAGACGAGCGAGTAGCCCGCCACGAGACAGAGCCGGAGCCAAGGCTGAAGGTGTAACCCTGTGACGACCGCTGCGTAGCCTGGTCGTCAGCCCAAGAAGCGTCCGCGTGACCTGTAAGTACCACTGGACTCCGCCCTCCAAGCACTAGCCCCATGCCCGACGTACTGCACAGGTAGCGAAATACCCTCTTTGCTGCAGCCATGTGCTCTGGTCGGTGTCTCCCAGGAGCAACATAGCGTGCAAGAATGCTAAGAGGGTATGCAAGGTCAGGTCGTGTGCAGGTCATCAGGTACATGAGGCAGCCAACAAGCTCTGGGTACGGGCCACTCGACTCTACGGACTCATCCGAAGGCAGAGCTGAGAGCGAGTGACGAGTAGACAGAGGAGTGGCCTGAGGCGAGGAGTACGTGAAGCCGAAGCGCTGAAGGACCTGCTGCACCATGTGTGACTGAGTCAAGGTAATGGTGCGGCGTGCTCTGTCCCGAGTGATCTGCAAGCCAAGGTAGCTGCGCAGTTCACCCAGGTCTGTGCACGTGTGTCTCTTCAGCAGCTCGGACTTCACGTAGGCGAGTCCAGCAGTGTCCGCTGTGGCAAAGACCAAGTCGTCGACGTACACGAGGATGTAGAACGGCGGCAGTGAAGTGTCGGTGCGCAGAAACAGCGACGGGTCAGCAGTAGAAGGAGCAAACCCAAGGGCCGCAAGCGTAGTCCTCAGTGTGTCGTGCCACTCACGTGGTGCCTGGCGGAGACCGTAGACTGGCCGTCGGAGGCTCCACTGGGTGCCAGGAGGGAAAGTCCCAGTGAAGCCAGGTGGACGGCGCAGCCAGATCTCCTCGTGCAGGCTCCCCTGCAAGAACGCAGTACTGAAGTCGAGAGAGTGAAGCTCATAGTCGCGCTGAGCGGCTATGTGCAGCAGCACCCGAAGAATAGTCATCTTCGGGGTGGGAGAGAAGGTCTGAAAGTAGTCAACTCCCTGCCGCTGACTGAAGCCACGAGCGACGTACCGCGCCTTGAAGACAGGTGGAGAGCCCGGCGGCCGCTTCACCCTGAAGATCCACATGCCACTGACGATGTTCGCCCCAGGAGGGGGAACCGCGTCAACGTAGGTGCCTGTGGACTTCCAGGAAGCCATCTCTGCATCCATAGCTGCCTGCCACTGAGAGGAGTAGGGACCCTCTACGGCCTCCGCGTAAGAGCGCGGAGTCGGGATGTCTAGTGCATCCGGGTCTCCCTCAGGAGCAAGCAGTACAGACGCGAGATGAGGTGAAGCAGCAGCCAGACACTGGAACTCCTCCTGCCTGTCCTCTAGGACGTCCGTGCCAAGAGCACACTCACCCCCGACGGATGGAGGACAGACAGACGCAGACTCAGCAACAAGACTAGCAGCAAAGTCTAGACGACAGCGAGCAGCAAAGTCGACGAGCTCAGCGACAAGAGCAGACGCAGCAGCGGACTCAAAAGAGGGGTCAGTGACGACAGTAGCAAGCAGACGCGTGACAGTAGGACTGGCAGCACGAAGGGAGTCCGACTCTGGGTCGGTAAGCACAGGAAGGGAGGACTCAGGAGGAGAAGGCAAAAGGGCACGCAGAGGAGCAGTGGACGGACGCAGAGACATCCGGTGCGTGCCAGGGACAGGAGGAGGACGCGGACGCGAACCACGACCACTAGCGCGGGCAGCACGAACAGGCGACGCGGGACGAGACGCAGGCTCACGACGCTCAGCAAGACCTCCAGTAGGACCAGTGTAAGGAGAGGGAGCAGGCAGTGGGGAGGTAGGCTCCAACAGGGACTGCGACTGGACAGGCTGTGGACACCCTACCGGAGGAAAAAGACCAAGAACCTGCTGCAGAAGCGGAACGAAGTACGGCCGAGGCCGCGCGGCAGCTCCAGACTCAGCAGGGACAGCACCAGCACCCTCAGCGGCAGCACCAGCGCCACCAACACCTCCAGCGGCAGGACCTCCAGCAGCACCAGCAGCAGAACCACCGTCAGGACAGACAGCAGCAGACTCAGCACCAACGCCCTCAGCAGCCCCAGCTCCAGTAGGAGGGAGGGGCTCCCGCCGAGACGCAGCACCAGGAGAAACCCCAGGCTCAGCGGCTCCAGACGAGCACCCCCAGGCTCAGCAGCTCCAGACTCAGCACCCCCAGGCTCAGCAGCTCCAGCTCCAGTAGGACCCGCAGAAGGTCTGGCGGATCCCCTGTGCACGACAGTAGTCTCGCAGAAGGCGAGAGGAGAACTCCCCACCTCGGTCAGAGTGCAGACGCAGAACAGGAAAGTCTGAGCCGAAGCTCCTCCTGAGCTGGAGACGAGCCTCGCGGATCCAGTCGATCAGCACCTCAGTGACAGCACCCTTGCTGCGCAAGGGGAAGACTGTGGTGTAACGCGAGTAGTCGTCAACCACCAACAGGAAGTAGCGCTCGTGACCCTGCCCACGAACGGGGGCCGGGCCCCACACGTCCATGTGAAGTGTCTGCAGAGGAGCCTCTGTCGGGGGAAACTGGGAGGAGTGAGGAGCAGCCCTGAGGCGCCCCTCGACACAGGGGACACAGGAAGGTCCTGGTCCCGAAGGAAGGGGAGGGAGAGACTGGGGAAGACCAGAGACAAGGACACGGGAAGCCATGCCCCGAAGACGGGGCAAGGAGGGGTGGCCAAGACGGTGGTGCCACAGGAGAGTCTCGTGAGACAGGAGGCGACACGAACAGGGGGCAGACTCAGGACCAGACCTGGACGCAGCAGCAAACACCTGACCTGACGCTGCTACCTGACCGGACGCAGGGACAGGAGGAGACTCAGTGGTCAGGGTGTAGAGGCTCGACCCCGGCCGACGCGAGAACGTGGCCAGGTGCCGGCGTGTGCGTGCGTCCGTGCAGTGGGTCACCCGCTGACTCGCAGGAGTGAACTGGTGAACCCCCGCATCCTGCAGGTCTGCACCACTCACCAAGTTCGTAGAGAACGAGGGGAGGTACTGGCCAGACAGGGTGCCCGAGGGGGCAGCCGGACACGGGAGGACAGTGGAAAAGTGAGAGAGGACAGGACCCCCAGAGGGGTCAGCCAGGGAGACTGCAACCGGCCGACTAAGCAGCGTGAGTGTGGTGCGGTCCCGAAAGAAGGAGCGAGAAGCCCCAGAGTCAAGTGTAAAGGTGAGGGAGGCCGAAGCCAACGTGGTACCTGAGAGCGCAGCCTCACCCGCACCTGAGGAAGCAGACTCACTAGCACCTAGAGCAGCAGCCGCACCTGTACCTGGAGCAGGAGACTCACTAGCACCCAGAGCAGCAGCAGCCTCACCAGTAGCTAGAGCAGCAGGTCCTATACCCGGGTCAGGCGGTACGCACAGGTGACCGGCACGGTCAGCACTAGTAGGCAATGCATACATGGCAGTGAGAATAGCATCATAGTCAAGAGCAAATATATCTACCCTCTACCTAAGCAACTCCACCCAGTCGGGGAGCTAAGCCTCGTCGCCAAACACGGTACGCCAGGTGTCGCTCAGACGGGCGAAGCAGCGGGACTGTGTATGACCAGGTGTCCAACAAGGCTGACCAGTCCGAGCACCAGTGAGAATCACGTAAGAGCAGCGAACAGAACTGAGAGACCCTCCACTCTGAGCG